GTTGGTGTCGGGTGGTAGGTGGGGGGGGGGGACTACACAGGGACGACCCAACGACGCGAACAAATCGACCGACTGGTCCGTCGTCCCCGCGGAGGTCGCCGCACCACCTATCGGCACCTCGCCACCACACACAACGACGGACGGGGACGGACGACGGACCAACCGGGCCGGAGTAGATGAGGGAAGCACTTGTGTCTTCTCGTTCGACGGGACGGCTCTTTCTTCCCGGTCCTTTCCTTTACACTTTCATCTCGCGCGTCTCTACCGACTTTCGTTGCGTGGGTAGAAATGAGTTCATCCTTTCCATGTCTATGAGGCACAAAAGTTTTGTTATCGCGGCCTTCATCGACTCGCAGCTCATGGACAGCCGGGCTTCCCCAATACCCGATTCTACCTTTGATCGTCGACGGAAATTTCCCTCATTGACCTGGAGGGCAAGTACTAATTACATCTTGTTGATTAAAGCTCGAAACAATCGATTACTTACAAAGGTACTCACTGGTCTGCCCGTTGTACGCAAACAGTAACCAGGGAGAAGAGAATCTCTTCTGTCCTTTAACTACCTAGTGCCCTAGCACGACACGTTTAAGTTATCGTGCGGTTACGCGAGTCACACTGTATTCATTACTAGTGCGGTGGTTTGTGTGTAAGTTGATTTTCCTTGCTTGAAATAAAAACTTTTATCATTCTTCATCTTTCATGTCATACGCACGAATTTTTACGATTGTTCATTTTCCATTCTATCAGCAGTCTTTCTGATCTTTTTTTTTTTTTTGTGTTTTTTGTTTTTTTTTTACGACATCACCGGTCTTTTCGATGACGAATGGTTCTTTTACTTAGCGCATGAATTCATGCCATTGGTTCGCATAACACAGTGAGGTGCATGAAAGGGTTCGATCTCCTCCTCCGCTCGCTCCCGTTCCTATAAACATGGTCTTTCCGCTAAATTACAACCCAGCACTGTTATTATTTGTAATACGCCTGAGTTATTGGTGAAGTTCATTAACGACTAATGATACGGACCGAACATCGGATTCTTCTCCTACGAAGAACAAATATTCGTTTAAACTCGGGTTGGAACAAGACGTTCATCTAATTCCTTTTCGCCCGAGAAGTTCGCTTATTTCCTATGCGTCGTCTATTTCGAACAAAAGGTCACGAGCCCCAAATCGTACACAAACCGATAAAATGTTTTTAATCCGAGTTATCACTCCTTTTCATATGTATTTTTGTCGTCCTTACATAGATATACGATTCCCTAAAGACTCTTATTCTATGAGACCCTACCTCTCTTCCCTTATCCCATATAATCAGAAGTGAAAAAGTTTGCGTTCGTACGACCCAAAGCGCAATTGAAGGTATGTTCAGTACAAGCCATGTTTATTTGAAAAAGTCCTGAGTTTTCTCTAGGTAAGTTACGACTATTGCAGCTCAAAAGGGCAGAGAAGGAGGGGAGGAAGGGGGTGGAGGATTGTGGATGGAAGATGGAGGAGTGTTTTTGATTTTGAAGGGGGTGGTGGTAGATAGAGGGTAATCATGAGGGGTGTTTGATTTGTGGGGGAGAAGAGAGGGAGGCAAGGGGGACGGACATAATTTCATTTGGGAGAGCCACAGGAGGGAGACAAGAGGTGGTGGGATGGGGAGGATGGAGAGAGGGAGGAGATGGGTATCCAGGTGACAACCATGGATGGATGGGTGGATGGATGGGTGGGTGGAGAGGAGAAGGAGTGGGGGGTTGGGATGTGGGATTAGACTAACTTTTTTGAATGCATGACTGAGAAGTGATGGGACCCAAAAAGGGGGCCTGTACACTCACAGATAAAACAGACCAGAGCCAGAGAACCACACTGAACAACCCACCCATCCACCGGCACTGTATTACTATACTGGTGAGGACATGACGCTACGATGACATCTGAAGGCCAGTTTTAACACAAAGTTAAACCCCGGCCTGTTTTTTGATTGGCTGGCTGGTGTCCTTTAAAGGAATAGTTCAACATTATGGGACATATGCTTGTTACTAGATTTTATTATGTTGCACTGTTGGAGGAGCCTGTGACCTTATATTCTCATTGATATATCTACACTGTAGCTACGTACAAAAGACAATAAGAGCCTTGAATCTTGAAACTAGAAAATTGATAATGTTTTTATCTTTTATATGTTGAGCTGGAACCAGGGGCTGATTAGCTTAGCATTCAGACCGGAAACTTAGTCTGGCTCTGTCGTAAGGTTAAAAAAAAATCTTCCTCTCAACACTTTTAAAGCTCACTAATGAACATGTTTTATCTCATGTGTTGCAGTTTTACAGAGGGTTATGTAATGGACTATTTCTGAGCGGAAGCGGAGACCTCCTGTCAAACTATTCCTTTAAAATTGTACCTCAGCCGTCGTTCTGGTAAACGGTTAATCATTCAAAATCAATGAACAAGGTTTATTTAACTTGTGATATCACTACCTATGCCGTTACAAAATAAAAGGCATGATGGAGCAACGGTTTGAGCATTGTACATTATTTCCTCACATCAGGCCACCTAAAACATTTTCCTTCTGCGGTTCAGTTTGCATTGATTTTGAATGGTTGACTGTATAACTAAATCATATGGGAGGTTTTGGAAAAAATAAGACATCTGAAGACGTCAACTTTAGAAGATTTGAAAAGGAGTTTTTCACTCTTTTCTGACAATTAATCATTGATTAAAATTAAAAAGTAATCAGTGTTTTAGGAAAATAAATGCTAAATTGAAATTGTGGTGCATAAAGCCTTCACAAAGTAACTTCCTTTCCCCCCAAATAAAATCCTTATTTAAGGTCTGTCCTCTCGACTATAGTAATAAAAGCATGGATACACAAACACAGTAGCTCTGGTAGACACAAATACATGACCACTGTGTGTGCACGCATACATAAATACACACACAGTGACTTTCCGTTCTAGACGAACGCCAAACACATGAAAAGGGTTAGCGATACAGACCTGACGTAAGCACAGGGTTTCCAGAAAGCAGCACTTTGAGAAAAAGAGAGTTTCTCAGTCCCAGAGCATAGCAAAGCAACAACGCACACACACACACCACGGAGAGCATACGCACACAAACGCTAAGGTTACCAAATCCTACACACAGCACCCCGACGAGTGGAAACGGCGGGAAAAGGAAAGGCGAGGAATGAGAAGGCAGTCGGAAAGAAGAAGTTACCAAGACACAGTGAAGAAACACAGAGAGGAAAGGAAGGAATAGAATAGAATAGATTCCTTTATTGTCCCCTAGGGGCCACAAAAAAGTAGTAGTAGCATCCACACAATATAGGACAGACATCATACAAAGGTGACAAGAGAAGAAGAATAACAATATACATATCCACAGTGTTCGGTAGCAAGAGGGCAAATATACAAGATTACAGTACAACGGAGGGAGATGTGTGTGGGGGGGGGGTATTTTTGTGT